ACACGTCAACTTCAGGGGCTGGAGAGATAGCACAGTGGGTAGGCCGTTTGCCTTGCACATGGCCAACCCAGGTTTGATTCCCAGCATCCCCCGAGCACCGCCAGGAGGAACTCCTGAGTTCAGAGCCAGGAGTAACCCCTGTGCATCGCCAGGTGTGACCCAAAAAGAAAAAAAAAGTCAACTTCAGCTCTAAACCCCACTGAGTCTCCCCATCAGGGCACTCAGGGTGTTCTTGGGGTGTTCTGAGTTGGCGTGAGCTGCCAAGACTTAAGTCCATTTGCCAAAGGGGGGGATATTCAGAGTCCCTGAGTTTCCCAGCCACCCCCCCCCCCCCCCCCGCCAATCTCCCGTCACTGGCAGCCGCTTGGGACAGCTGGATGTGGAGTCCAGCCCTGGCAGGGGGACAAGAAACTGGGTGGACAGAATCACAGCTGGGGATGGATGCTTCTAGATCTGCCCTGCCCTGGGGCCGGGGTGGGACTTTGCTCCTCTGAACTGCCCTTTCTGAGCCTCTGGAAAAAGAGCCCCAAGTTCAGAGAGAAGAGAGAGGTTCTTTTTGTTCCTTTCCTTTTTTTTTCTCATTTGCCTCAGCCCAAGCTGCAGAGAAGACGGAGCAGGGGTGAGGTGGGCCGAGCGCGTTTCTGTGTGGAAGCGGGGCAGTTTGTTCCCTGCTAGCTCCCGCAGGCACCCGGCATGCAGGGCTGGGCTGGCGCCGCAGCCTAACCTGTCACGTGCTTGGCAAGTGAGTCCTTTTTTCCACTGCCTTCCCCACCCTGTCAGATTGCACTTGCAACCTCTCTCATTTTTTTTTTTTTTTTTGCTGCCTAGATGATTAAAAAGCATGACTTAGTGGAAAAATCTTGACCTCTGTGGGGTCAGTCTCTTAAGCAGCTGTTGAAGATAAGATTGTCCTGGCCAAACACTCAGCCCCACTTTGCAAGACGCTCTGGCCAGGCCGTAAGGAAATGAGAAGAGAGAGATCTAGTTCCGGGAGCATTTTGTTTGTTTTTTTGGAGGGAGCTGCCATTTTCCAAGAGGCATACCTTGGTCTAATCTGATCATAAAATCAAATCCTGGGTGGAAGGCTTACAATATCACAGTGATTTTTTTTTTAAAAAGTCATTTAAGCCATTCTCAGGTTTTGTAAAAACAAACTAAAAACCCTCACCGAAACAAAGAAATAATAACAACTTCCCCCCCTCCCCCACTTTTTTTTTTTTTGAGAAGTTCGAGAGCAAAGTTCTGTGGCAACTAAGCAGTAGGAGAAGTTCAATGCTCAGCCTCCCCCAGGACTTAAAAGACTTAATTGTGCAGCTCTTGGTATGAAAGGCATTGTTTGAAGTTATTTTAATTACTGGGTTAGGATGGAGGCCTGTTGACATGGAGCCAAAGACGACATTCCAAGGGGAACGGAGGAGCGTTTGCCCGAAGAGCATTCTATCTTTCTGTGGGCCAAGAATGTGGGCCATCCAATGATGCCAGAGAGTCGCTGTGCTTCGGAGGGGGGGGAAACTGAGGCACAGACACGTGAGAGGACCGGCTTGGGATGCTGTGAGTCAGGTCCGCGCTAGAGTGAGGATCTGGAATCCGTGACCAGACAGTATGCGGCCGAATGAACACGTTGTTGTTCTCACGGGTCTCGGGAGCGGTCGCGCCCTGCCGTGTGGCCGTGAGTATGTCCCCGGCCCTCTCTGTGCTTTGTTTCTTCATGCAGAAGAGAGCTGGGCTGCCATGAAGCCACCATGAAGCCACCACGGCTGTGGGGACTCGGGGCTCCTTCTAGCAAAGGGCCCCGCGTGACTGACTTGGGTGCCTGTTTCCCCTGCTTGCTGGAGACCCATTCTGTGCTCACTCCCCATATCCCCGTATCCCTGTATCCCTGTGTCCTCCACCTGCTGCCTGGGCTGCCTTTATTTGCTCCTGCCGTGGGGTGGGGCATTATAACTCGGCCTCCATTGCTCCGTCCATCAGCCAGGAGTGTCCGGGAGGGCTCCGTGCTGGGCTGGAGGCAGCACCAGGCCCGGGTTTGGACCTGCAGCACCAGGCCCGGGTTTGGACCTGGAGCCCCGAGGACCAGAAACCTGAGCGGCCCCACAGGGCACCAGCCTTGGTCATCTCCTCTGGAAATGGACGCTCCCATTGAGCACATCCGTTTCATCAGCCAGAGGCGGCAGACCCAGTCCATGCTTGAAAGCTTGCATCCAGGCAGTCTGTGGTCCCCCACGGCCCCTGGCCTGCTGCCCCCAGACCAGGAGGGGTTTGCTGGAGCAGCCGTGGGAAGCAAACACAGCCACTTCCTGGGGCATCCGTCCCCTTCACTCTGCTCCAGGGCTGATGCCGAGACCCCGGGAGGGGCCCAGGGAAACCACGTGTTTACCCCTCTGCCTATCACGTGCCGGTCATCGCACTGCAGGCTAGACGGCAGCGGGACGGGAACCCCGCGCCCAGGGCTGGGGGCTAGCGGGGGGGGGGGGGTGGGGGCAACTTTCCCTTTGCCCCACACTGGGCTCCCTCCCGTGCCCCCGACCCTGTTTCCCTCCTGGCTGCTAACCCTCACTTTTATGACCTTCCTTAAGTCTTTAACGATTCCTGGTTATGCAGCTGGATTAAGGCTTAATCCCCAGCAATCAGGCTTCATTGGATAAGTGGTTAATAGTCGCTCATCTCAGGAAGAGGGGGGTGTGTGTGTCTGGGAGGGCCCTGGTTCCAGGGCGCTCACACGGCCCCGACGGAGCTGCTTGGAGTCGGCGTGGGGGGATGAGCACCGTGGCCTGGCATGGAGGAGGCACCGCCCACAGCCATACTCCGAGGGGGTCCCGCAGGGGTGTTCCTTCCGCTCACGAGCTAACTGTGGCATGGGGCAGGCCCTGGTTCCCTGCACCCCGGCTTCCCTCTCTGTCCAGTGGAGAGGTTGGCAGCAGGAAGATGCCATGAGTCGGTGAGGTGGGCCGATGTCTGTGCTTCTGGGAGCTCCCGGCACCCCACGCTGAGTCTCCTTGGCTGTGAGCTGTAACCGTGGGGCCAGGGCCACCACTGCATTAGGGCCACAAGCCGTTAGAGAGAGACTCGGCCCTGTGTGGACACGGGTCCAAGGACAGTCGCGCCACAATGGGGCTGGTTTGGGGGCGTGGGGTTCCCTGCTCCAGGTGGGACATGGTGGGCATGATAAATGCTGGGGAGATGTGAGGCCCTTGGCTGCCAAGGTTGGAGGGACCCGAGCTGTTGGCTGGAGCAGGTGGCAGGGCAGCCTGGGATTTTGTTCCGGCTGCCCGGGGTCTGGGCCATGCCCTCTATCTGGCTGGACCTTGACTCTCCGGTTGATGTCCAGCCTCTGGAGTAGCGGGCAGCTCGGGGACAGGATAGGTTTGCCCTGCATCCACTGTCACTTGTGTCCAGGCTGGGGCAAGCTGCCCCCGGCTGAGAGATGCTTGAAGGCAGAATTGACCACGGAGACTTTGCAGCTGGACACTGTTGGTTGACAAGCGGTTCCTGACAAGCCCTTGGCAGCTGGCTCCTCTGAGTTTGGGGCTTCCAGTTCCTGTCCATGCTACCGGGATGCAGCTAGTTTTTTGGGGGGGAGCTGCATGGAAGCCACCAGGGCTTGGGGGAGGGTCGGGGATGCTCAGAGGGCCACCTGGGGCCAGCAATGAACTCGGCCCATGCTCAGCCCTCTGAGCTATCTCTCCAGCTTGCTTTTTTTTTTTCCTTTTGGGTCACACCTAGCAATGCTCAGAGGTTACTCTTGGCTCTGCACTCAGGAATTACTCCTGGTGGTGCTCGGGGAACCCTATGGGATGCCAGGGATTGAACCCAGGTTGGCCACATGCAAGGCAAACGCCCTACCCACTGTGTTATAGCTCCCGCGCTCTCCAGCTTTCATTTTTATTTTGACTGATTGTTTTTGATTTGGGGGCTGCCAGGAATCACTCCTGGAGGTTCTTGGGGGACCTTATGTGGGTGCCAGGGATTGAACCAGGGTTAGCCACATGCAAGGCAAGTGCCCTACTGTACTCCCTCCCAGCCTTCTCTGACTTATTTAAATCTGGAAATGAAAAGCAGAGGGCTACTGCCCTCTTTGGTCTCTAAATTTTGGTCCTGCGGGGCAACTGTGGCTTCATGGGACGGGAGGTGGAACTGGCCCATCCTTCCTGCCCCGCCGAGACCACGAGTTGCCTCCCACGAGAGGCTCTCTGGCATGGCCATGGCCCCAGAGGCACACAGACCCAATTCGGAACCCAGCAGCTTTTGGCAGAAATCCCTCCAGACTTAATTAGCAAAATATCAGAGATCCAAATTCACTCGGCCGCGATTGTGGCCGCACGAGGTCATATGCTCTTCATAGCCGGCAATAGAGAACAAATTATTTAACGATGCCTTTTCGACAGGTCTGAGTGTTGGGGAAAAATTCCAAATAATAATGGTGCATCGTTGGTCGAAATAATGAGTGTGATCAAAGAAGAGAGAGAGAATTAAGTGGAAATCATCTGCCTCACAGGCAGGGGGGAGGGTTGGGACAGGGGGCGGGGAGCTCTACTGGGTTTCTTGGTGGTGGAAAATGGGTGTTTGATCATTGCATGACCGTGACTTAAACCCGAAAGCTTTGTAACTGCTCTCATGGTGATTCAATTGTCACTGTCACTGTCCTCCTGTTGTTCATCGATTTTCTCGAGCGGGCCCAGTAACATCTCCATTGTGAGACCTGCTTGTTACTGTGTTTGGCATATTGAATATGTCATGGGGAGCTTGCCAGGCTTTGCCGTGCGGGCGAGATACTCTCCGTAGCTTGCCGGGCAGAGGAATCGAACTCGGGTCAGCTGCATGCAAGGCAAACAAACGCCCTACCCACGGTGCTATCGCTCCAGCCTGGTGATTCAATTAAAAAAAAAAATTGGTCCTGGTGCCCAGTGGGGGAGGGGTGCCCTGTGGCGCAGGTTTGGGGAGCCTAGGTGCAGTTCTCGTCAACTCTCCCCAGTGACCCCCTCTCCCGGCTCCTCCTGCAGATCTTCCCCGACCCGTCGGACTTCGACCGCTGCTGCAAACTGAAGGACCGCCTGCCGTCCATTGTGGTGGAGCCCACCGAGGGCGAGGTGGAGAGCGGGGAGCTGCGGTGGCCCCCCGAGGAGTTCTTGGTGCAGGAGGACGAGCAGGACAACTGTGACGAGACAGCGAAGGAGAACACGGAGCAGTAGGGCCCCTGCTGCCGGCGTGTCCCGGGCCACCCCGACAGCACCTGCCCCTGGACTGTCCCCCGAGGCGGCGGTGGCAGGAGCAGGAGCGGCTGCCTTTACTGCACCGGCCGCGATGGCTTCAGTCGTGCACCTGCAAATCACTGACTTGGTTTCTTTCCTTTCCTTCTTTCTCCTTCTCTGAGATGTTGGGGGGCAGCGGCGCCCCAAGAGAGGAAGCCAGGGCAGAGCTGGTCCAGGGAGCTGGGTTGGGGGGTCCTCTCTGATGACGGCCGCCAGAGCCGGCCTTGGGGTGGGGGTTGGGGGTGGGGCGGGGGGCTGTCCAGGCTGCGGGGGGAGGATGAGGGTATGAAGCAATAGGAAGCATCCCACCTTGGGGCACCGTGGAGCAGGCGGCCAGCCCTCACCTTGGACCCCTCAGCCAAGAGCGTGCACCCCACTTTGCTTCTCCATTAAGCCGTGATGTCTCTTACTGGGGTGGGGGGGGGCAGGAAAGGGGACCAGGGGACCCAGCAGCCACTGGGCTGGATGGAGATCTCTTTTGGCTCCTTTCCCGCCAGGTCAGTGCTCCGGGATGTGGCTGTTTGGGGGCAACGAAGTGGGGGGGGGGACGGTCCAGGGGTTCCCTCTGGAAATCTTTTGAGCTTATCCCTTCTGGACCTCTCAGTGTTTTTTTTTGGGGGGGGGGGATTAGTTAGAGCGTTTCCTGCCCTCGCAGGGGAGCCAGGTGGGTGCCAGGACAGGAAGGTTACTCCCTCGCTGATTCCCCAGGATGGGCTCTGAGTCCTGGCAGGGCCCTGGGGTTGCCCCCCGCACCTGCCCCTGGCATCAGCGGGGTGTCTGTCCACAGTGGTACCCCAAGCTGTGTGGGCGCTGGATGGTCCTGGAGGGGGCAGAAGGCAGAGGCTGTGCTTTCTGTTCTGTGCTCGGGGAGGGGTTATGGGGTGGTTGGGCGAGGCATGCCCACTGCATCCTGGGGTGCCCGGAGTGTCTCCCTGCAAGGGCTGGGTGGTGAGGGGGCTGCCAGCGGCACCCTGCACAGGCACGGAGAGGTCTTTCTGGGGCTGGGAGGCCTGCGTCCTGCCTTGAAGCTTCGAGAGCAGAGACCGCTGGACGTGGTCCTTCCAGCATCCCAGAGCAGGACCGGATGGATGACTGGACGAGGGGCCCCCCCACAGCCTTCCTGGGTTCCCCGATGTCCCCAATCCCGCCGCCTCATGCTCTTGGAGGCGTGCATGTAGAGTTGGTCTTGGTGCCCCCAAGTCCGGCTGGCTCTGGGGCGAGGGTGGATGGGGAACAGACCCAGGATTCGGTCCGGAAGTCCCAGACACGCCTCTTCGCTCCTGACTGCCCGCCCCCAACGTGTCGTCTGCTTGTGCCCCACACACCGAAGAACGCAATAACTCCTCCCGGCGACCCCTGGGCTCTGGCTCTCCCGGTACAGCTGCAGAGCGGGGCCCCTCCCGCCCTCCCCCTGCGCCTCCCGTGGGTGGGGTCTTGCCTTCGAGAATCCTGTCTCCGTGTGCCCCTCGTCCTGGTCTTCCCCTGTGTTGGAACCGTGCTTCTAGACCGCAGAACAAACCGACTCTGTGTATATGTGTGTGCTTGGGGGTGGGGGTGGGGGGGTTCTTATTTTGTTTTCCTGGGCGCTGGACCCTGTTGTCCGACCGTGTGGAGTCTGAGCAGGCCGGGGCCAAGGGTCCCGGCTGAGCCGTTCTTGGGCAAGTGGCCGAGCTCCTGCCTGGCCGCCTTTTTTTTTTTTTTTTTAAGTAACTCTTGTGTGTTTCTAACTGATCGTATTGGAAAACAAACAACCCTAGTATTTCGGTAAACATGCCTGTTGTAAGAGGAACCTCCTGTAACTTCTATCTGTTCTTTTTTGAGGCTCAGGGAGAAACTAGCTTTTTTTTTTTTTTCCGAACTAGTTTTTGTCACTGTGACAGTTGTAAATAAAGTTTGAAAATGCTTTCCACTCTGCTCTGCTTTCCTTCCTTTTAAACAGGACAGGGGGAGGGGGGTTGGGCTCCCCTGGGAGGCTGAGTTGGGGGCGTCCATCGCCAGCTCCTGACTCACTCCGGGCCCTTCCAGCCCAGCACCCAGTGCCCTTCCTCCCCTGGCTGCAGGGAAATGACCTGCCAGGCGGTGCTCAATGCTGCAGCCACAAGCACATGAAAGCCACAAGCACGCACACACACACACACACACACACACACACACACACACACACACACCTGGCTCTACCCCGGAGCTCTGGATTCTAGTGGACTGTGGGGGTGCCAGGGGGAAGGGTTCCAAGCATCACTGTTGCCAGAACCACCTGGGGAGACACTGAGGCAGAGCCACAGTCTTAAGTCTCTCCTCAAGGGTAGAGACACGCCTCAAATAAACTGTGAGGTCGTTCCCAAAGGGGCAGGGTGCTGGGTGCACAGTTACTCAAACCACTCGAACCTGCCAGTTCCCAGGTGCCGGAAAGAGTTGGGGGTAAAGCAAAGAGGACTGGTTCTCGCACACGGCTTCCATGCCCAAGTCCGGGATGCCTGTGGCGAGTGGCCGCCAGAAAAGCGAAGTCAGCTCTGACAGCAGGTGTCTGTGGGGAAGCCGGAAGTCGTCTGAGGAGCAGGTGGAGCACTGAGCAGGAGCACTCTCCTCCTGGGCAGGACTGGGGTGGGTGGGGACAGGGAAATGCAACCAGGAGGGCTGCCTGGCCTCGGAGGAGCTCAGCATCCAACCTATGCTCGGGACCTCCAGAGGAATCACTTACCCTTGTGCCCCACCTGTCTCTACGTGGGCAGAGTCAGCAGTTTCAAAATGCGAGACAGGACTCCAGGCAACTCTGATGGGACGAAGGTGGTGCTTTGTGGAAGCAGATTCGGAAGAGCTGTCTGAGCCAGGGCTGGCCCTTTTTGCCTTCACCCAATCCACCTCTGTTGAGTGTTAATGATCGAGAGATCTGTGCTCCGGGGGTCTGCCAGCAGGCAGGGAGTATTGGTCCACTCTACGCGTTAGCCTACAGGAAAGACCGATTTGTTCTGGGCATTTGCTCCCTGAGAGTGAGATGGTCCCCCACCATCCCCGACCACAGTGCTTTCTCCTTCCCTGAGGAGCCTGGATGTGGGATGTTGTAGCACACAGACTCTTTGATGCAGACCCTCAGAGCACTACTACAGATGATGTCATCCATGTAGAAACTCCCAGGCAAGTACAAAGGAACAAAAACAAAGACACAGGACTAGGATGGACATTGTATGTAGGACCTAAAATCAATATATAGAATCAATTGCATTTCCATGGATTCACAATGGAACAATGGAACGCATCGATTTAAAAATAGCACATTTGCTATCAAAATATACAAATCTTTTAGGGACAAATTGAGGACAAGATTGTGTGAAACCTGTCTAATAAAATTAGGGGCAAGAGAACATTAGATGTCCATGGAGATATACCATGTTCATGGATATAATGACACGTTGTTATGATGGGGGTACTATCCAAATTACAAATTCCACAAGGTCGAAATTCCAGGAAGGTGTCTTTTCTAGGAAAGTACAATCTGATCTTGAAATCTTTTTGGGAATGCAAAGGATCCATGAAATCCAAAACTACATAGGAAAAGGAGAAGAACCCGAATCTCTACTTCAAACCTTATTTCAAAGCTGCAGCAATTTAAAAAAGTATAGCATGAATATCAAGTTTGGTAAATAGAATCACGGAACAGAACAGAGCGCCCAGAAACAGATCTACATTTATATGGTTGATTAACTTCTGACGGATGTGCCAAAGTCATTCTGAAAAGAGTCTTTTTCCATAAATGGAATAATTTGATGTTGGTAGGCAACTATTCCCTGGTTATGCAGAGTCTGAGTTTTTACTTCTCCCATTATTTCCGTCTGATTTTCTAAATAGAATAACGTATCTAGGTTAATAATTCCCTTTTCAGGGTTGTCCAATCACTTAATACAGCCCGTAGTCCACCTGTTTTCCTCTTCTTTGCCTAAAAAGAAGCTTTGGGGAGTAACTCATAAACCTACGGTTATTTAGGCCTGGCTTGCATTCAAGTCCTGCTCAGCCTATATGTGATTTGAAGCTAATTTATTTTTCTTTCTTTTTTAAAAAATTTTTAAATTTTAGTGAAACACCCCTAGAAACTGGAAACAATTCTTCCTGAAGCCTCTAGGTGGGACCCAGTCCTGCCTACACGGTGACTTTAGACTTTAGATTATCGAGATCTGGTTCAAACTCCTAACTTCTAAAAAGGTAAGAAAATCAATTTGTGGCGTCTTATTACTCATTGCAAGAATGGACTAAGCCTTGATGGGAAGGGAATATGGCTCTCATCAGAGCACAGCTGATGGTCTTTCCCTGAAGGCCTCAGAAGGGCAGAGGAGGGCCTAGGAGGGAGAGGCCACTGCCTTCATACGGTCCAGGTCCCAGAGTATCCGTGGATGGAGGGCTAGCCTTGGCCTGAAGTTGGCTGAATTTGAGTCTAGAAAGTCTCCAGTTTGAGTTCGCCAAACCTATTTGGCCTACCAACCATCCCTCTCCTTTTCAGAAGAAAGAAAGAAAGAAAGAAAGAAAGAAAGAAAGAAAGAAAGAAAGAAAGAAAGAAAGAAAGACAGTGTCTCCTGGGAGACTTACATTCTTTAAGCAAACAAAGAACCCCTAATTGCACTCCAGGATAATACTGTCTCCTCCCCCCAGCCCCCCATCATTCCAGCCCCACATCTGGGGGTGGTATCATTTAGTTTGGAAAATATGGAAGATGTCTTATTCAGATTATATATTCTAGGACCGGAGAATGTGTGACGTGCAATGAGCGTTCACATGGCCTGCAAATGGGATTTTCATTCTTGGTTCCTCCACCTGTGGGAGAGGAGCCTCACGCCCATGTCCAGTCATGTTTGATGCTTTCTTGGCCACTTTCAGAAAAAAAAAAATATCAAGCTACTCCCACCTGGTACTCTGGCCACAGGTAACAAGAGTGCTGGGCTGGAGGTTGGTTCCCATTTCTTCTCATTCTCAAAGAGTGGGTTTCAGACATAGGGTTTTTGTTTTTTGGTTTCGGTTTTGGTTTTTGGATTTTGGGACAGACTACATTTCGCAGTTGGGAATGATGCCAGTTGGTAGAACTGGGGACTTCATCTTTCAAATCAGTGGCAGATCTATTATGTTTGTGTTTTCTTCCAGTTTTGACCCCTTGAACTTGCCTGAGCAAATTCAATTGAGTAGACCTCCACCTCCATGAAGCAGGCATTTTAAATGTTATTTCACCGACGGCAAAGCTGAGGTCTGGACACTTTGACATGGACTGACTTTGGAACCAGAGAGCAGGGATATTAAAATTTTGTTGAAAATCAGCAGTAGCAAAGTGTTGAGGGTTGAGTTCCCGGGCTCAGCCGGGGCTGTCCCGGCCTGTAGCATTCTCCAGCTTCCTCATGCAAATGCCCTGCGTGGCTGAATTTGAAGAGTTGGGGTGAAGCAAGGAGTGAGTCTGCCTGCCTCTTTCGGACCTACTTCAGTCTGAACTGGGAGCAGTGGCCGAGCCACTGTGGGGTTTGAGGCATTGCCTCCTTACTGGTCTATGGACCCCCTGCATTGCCCACCCTCACCCCCACCAGGACTGGCCTAGTTCAGGGCCTCTGTAATTGCAGCCCCTCCCCCTCCATCATTGGAAAGATAGACCACGCTAGAAGGAGTTTCCCAATAAGCTATTTTTCGAACTGAGATGTGAATCTTTACTGAGTAGTGAACTCCACTCATTTGTGGGTTGGATCCAGTATTTCAAAAACAAAAGGAAAATGAGCAAGGGGAGCAGGCGAGCTCCGAGCATAGCAGGAGGGGTGCGGGGAGCTGGGACCCCCCCAAAAAAAATCAGCTTTATTTTTCTGTGGGGAGAAAGTAAGTAAAGTAAAGGCCCTCCCGTTGATCATCAATTTGCTCGAGCGGGCCCAGTAACGTCTCCATTGGAGACTTTGTTGTTACTGTGTCTGGCATATCGAATACTCTTGGTAGCTTGCCGGGCTCTCCGAGAGGGGCGGAGGAGTCGAACTCAGGTCGGCCATGTTGGCCACTTGTAAGGCAAACGCCCTACCCGCTGTGCTAGCACAGTGGGGAGAAATGCTCCCAATAATGGTCAAAGTCAATTCAAGAACCGCCGGCTTGGGAACTTTCTAGAATTTAATGTAGAGTCAGGAGCCACTTTGGCAGGTTTCTCTGATTTCTGAGGGCCAGGTCAGAGTGGGAGGGAAGAGGAGGAAGGAATGAGGAGTGGCAGGAGGGAGGACCAGCGTGTGGAGGAGGAAGCGGCTCAGGAAGTCCTCCCTGCACAGCAGCTGCTCAACAGTGGGTCTGGAGATGAGGAGAAACGGGAAGGGATGGTCTGCACCCTGCGGGCAGGGCAAGAGGCTTCCATCTCTCTGAGCTGCACTGCGTGGGCCCTTGGTACTCTGATTGCACACAGTGGGGCCATTTTCAGGATGAGGTGCCATGGATGGGACCCCTTGCCTGCTGGGTCTCTGCAACTCATGTCTCATACAGGCTGACATGAGAATTGCACATGCCTAAACCTTCAGGACCAAGCCCCCCTCCCCCCACCCAGAAGCAGCTCCTCTTGTAGGGGGTCCCAGGAAGGCTTCTCCAGTGGCAGCAGACCTGGAGGATTTGTCTTTCCCATCAGTTCTTGCAGCTTATCCCTTGCCTGCCCCTATGGTGACACTTTTCCACGTTCCCTAAAGGCTTCTCTGGCGACTATCTGGGGACTTTACCAGCTTCCCCTGGTAAAGTCTGTCCCACATACCAGAAATGGAGGGATGAAGTCTGGGTGCTGGTTCAGGGTCCACTCCCAGTCGGCTCCTTCCCTGCAACCATGCCGCAGGGTGACTCAGTGGTTGACAGCACCCCCACCCCATCCTTCACACAAGCAAGGCATTGTGGGACCAGGACTCAGGCAGAATTCAGGGGTGCACATGAATA